GACATGACCTGTGTGAAGGAGGAGATTTTTGGCCCTGTCATGTCCGTTTTGCCTTTTGACACGGAGGAAGAAGTGATCAAGAGAGCCAACAACACCACCTTTGGACTGGCCTCTGGGGTCTTCACCAGGTCAGTTTGTCACGAGTCAGCAGTGTGGTGCAACTGTTGACGGCTTGCTCTTTTAAGATAATGAGTTTATTACATTCTGTTGGCTGTGGCTCAAGGTCTCCACAGTGCGGCCAATTCACTGCACTCTCTGTATAAAAGTCGGTTCTTTTCCTCCTCCTACAGGGACATTTCTCGAGCCCATCGCGTGGCTGAGAACCTGGAGGCAGGGACCTGCTTTATCAACAATTACAACATCAGCCCTGTAGAGGTGCCGTTTGGAGGATACAAGATGTCGGGTAAGATGCTGTCAGCTTTTCATGGTCTGGGTAAATGCTGCATTTGCTCAGTAAATTAACCAGTTCTCTCCTGATCCCTGCAGGTTTTGGCAGAGAGAACGGCCAGGTGACCATCGAGTACTACTCCCAGCTGAAGACTGTAGTGGTGGAAATGGGTGACGTCGAAAGCCTCTTCTAAAGTTTTACACCACTGTGACAGAACTGACTAGAGCTTTTCACTTCTCCCTTCTTACTGTGTTAGGCTGACACATAATTAATGCAAAGTGTGTGGAACATGATGTAGACAAGCATAGATGCTGAGCACTCTCCCCCCCCCAAAGTATTCAGTACTTCATTATTACATCAGTAAGTGAAGGATAGTTGGATTTAAAAGTTGGGGTTTTCTGAGGAAACACAAGTGTGCAACGCTGGAACCAGCATTAGAGGAAGACTTCTTTGTACTGTTGTTTGGACAGCTGCTCCTTTGTATCAAAATAAACTTGTAGAAGCAAATTCTTTTTCCCTGTTGCTTGTGAGTTGAACTGTAAGAATATGCTATACTGTGGTGGCCCTGAGATGCCAAACGGACTGCACCTAAAGAAAACACCAGCAATAAGAAAAACACTGCAAAAGCACACAAAACACAATGGAAATAGGAAAAAACTGATTTTCCAAAAGCACAAGGTATTTAGCTGAAGTGTATTTTATTTATGTTAGTTTTTTTTTTTTTAACTTGTAGTTCCAAATTGGAAGATTATTGTGACATTGAAATAAAAAAATAAAATTATATTTTATTATTTTGTTCATCGCTCAAAATAAGCGCCACACTCGCGGAAGCCAGTGTACCCGCGGAAACGCCGTGCATTTATTGAGACTTTCAACCCCAGGTAGGCCAGTTATGGATCTTCGGATCCACATTGTCAGCAGCTATTCTCCACCGTGAACTATGTTAAAAACAAACACCGCTCACGCCTCACAGATGACAGCTTACAGTCCTGCGTAAAGATGAAAGTGACTTCGTACAGCCCTGATTTGCAGACGCTGTGCGCAGAGGTTCCGGAGCAGAAGTCCCATTGTAAACATATCACGGCAGACCCGACGATGTTTCCATGAACATCCTTTTCAGCATCTCTTTATTGACCACTTTTCACACGGTTGCTGTACGTATACAGCCGGCTGTAGCTTTTCAGCTCACAGTCCGACATATACCAACAGCATAGCACAGACGTTAAGGCGGCGAGGCGTGATTGCGGGTGCCGCTCAGGTGCGTCCGCCTCCCCGGCAGCGGTGCTGCAGACCGCACCCGACCACACACATTAACCTGGTAAAATACATATTTAGGCAAAGTTTTTCATCTTTTAGCAGCATAGTGCTTTTTTTTCCAATTATTTTTTTAAAAGTCAGGTCAAGGGTCCAAAAGCCCAAAGGCGATATAAGGCTGGCGGCTCACAACAGTTTTTGTTTGCTACATGGATCATTTTAGTTCAGCGGGGTGTCTATCCTTTTGTTATATTTCTTTAAGAGTTCAAAATGTGTTAATTACATAAATAAAATGTAATTTTCTCTGTAGCACTTAATGGATTTCATAAGCAACACACCTTAGTTGTTCACACAAAGCATAAAGGTAAAAAACAATATATACAGTGTTATCTTCATTTTAGATGTCAAAAAGTATTTGCGGCTCCCAGTATTTTCTTTTGCGTGGAAACCGGGTCCAAATGGCTCTTTGGGTCTTAAAGGTTGCTGACCCCTGGTGTAGGAGCCATATGAGTTGCTCCTTTTTTGACTAAGTGGGTTGGTTTAAATGGACTCACTGTATTTGGTGCACGGGTGTGGGGCGTGTCTCATGGGTGTGGTAGATGATAAATGTGGTTGCACTCACCTGTTCACGGCACCTGATGTTGATGAGCAGAAAGGTAGGGTGAGCATGAGGCAAAACCTTCTCTTGAGCGCAGCTCGTATTATTTTCATGTATTTGACTGTAGTCTGTTTTTTTGGGGGGGAGTTGCACAAAAATTTGTGTGGCATCTTATTTGATACAGAACAGCTGATTGTTCTGTAAATACAATCAAATGGTTATAAAAAACACTTTGACTGCATTTTGGGAAAATAGCTGCATATAGCTTTGTTGTTTGCAAAACTTTTGCATAGGTTTTCAAAATTTCCAATTCATGTTTGCATTTCAAATTATGAAAATGATTCTTTAAAAGTGTTTGTGGTTGTTACAGTAAAAAAATAGAACTTTTTTCTACTCTGATTTTATGTTTTTTGTCTGATTTTAGATCAATTACTCAGATACAGTATGTCAAAATGAGAAAATAACTGTAAATTCACACATTTGAGCTGAGCTGAAAAGAATGACACAAAACAAGGCAAGATAAATAGTTTTTAAAGGCGAAATGTAGAGGTAAAATCGGAAGTAGTCAAAAACAGTCAATTATACCCCAG